GATGGATGATGGATGGATGATGGATGGATGGATGGATGGATGATGGATGATGGATGGATGATGGATGGATGGATGATGGATGATGGATGGATGGATGATGGATGGATGATGGATCCGTGGATGGACGGAAGGCTGGACAGAGGGAAGGACAGAGGGACAGAGTGATGGGGAGATGGATGAAGTGGGGGTGGTGATGGAGGATGTCTGGAGGGGAGGAAAGAGGGACAAGGGGACAGAAGGACACGGAGGGAGCGATGGATCAGAGCCTCCTGCTCCCTGCCCTCACCTGGGCGTACTCGTTGAACTTGCGGAGCTCCTCGTTAGCCAGGATCTCGTTGATGGTCGGCTTGGGCACCCCGTCCCTGTCCAGCCCTGCCCAGAGGGAGCCGGGCTGGAATTCTGCCCAGCTTGGCCGGGATGAGACCCCTGCTGTGACCCCAGAGCTCCGGGAACGCGATCCGTGTTGTGAATTCATTCATTCATTCATTCTGCTCCGTTCTGCCCCCAGTTCCCAGCCGGCTTTCAGGGTCCGGCCACCTCCCCCACCGCGTTTTGCAGGAAAAAGGGAAAACGGACGCTCGGAGCCCCTTTTCCCATCCCCCCCTACCCTGGAACATGGCAGCCTCTCCGAACCCCTCCTCCTGCTTCTCCTTGAGCAGCTGGTAACAGGCGCTGGGGCTGGCCAGGAGCAGCCGGAATCCCTGCGGGCCAGAAGGAGGAGGAGGAGGAGGTCGGGGAAGGCTCCGAGGGTCTCATCCCACTTTTTCCCCATCCCGGGATTCCTCACCTTCCGGTCGGGCGCGGGGACGAAGCTCAGGAACTCATCCACGTGCCCGACGTGGAGCCAGTCCGAGAAGAGCTCCACGGGCGCCTGGACCTTCTGGGCCAGCAGGAAATCCCGCACGGCCTTGGCCATCCTGCGGCCGCCCAGCCTGGGGGAGCGCCGGCCGGTTGGGACACCCCGCTCGGAGCCGACCCCAAACCCGGCCGGGAAATCCTTTTCCTTTGGGGTTCTCCCGCTGCCGGCTCACCTGGGGAAGCTGCTGCCCATCAGGATGCGCCCCAAGGGGTACTCCTTGCCCGCCACCGTCACGGGAGGGCTCACCTCCAAATTCCCGAAGGAATCCAGGCTGGAAGCGCCCTCCGGAGCCTGCCGGGCCACGTAGCCAAAATCGGGGCCCTGGGTGTGGGGGAAAAACGGGAGAAAACGGTTAAAAAATGCAGCTGTTGGCACCAAAGCACTGCACCCCCAAATCTTGTGCTGGAGCTTCCCACCCTGAAAATGCGGGAAATAAAGGGGTTTATCCCAGTTTTTAAAAGGATTTATCCCAGTTTTTAAAGGGGTTTATCCCAGTTTTTAAAGGGGTTTATCCCAGTTTTTAAAGGGTTTTTTTCCCAGTTTTTAAAGGGGTTTATCCCAGTTTTTAAAGGGGTTTATCCCAGATTTTAAAGGGATTTATCCCAGTTTTTAAAGGGATTTATCCCAGATTTTGAAGGGGTTTATCCCAGTTTTTAAAGGGGTTTATCCCAGATTTTAAAGGGATTTATCCCAGTTTTTAAAGGGGTTTATCCCAGATTTTAAAGGGATTTATCCCAGTTTTTAAAGGGGTTTATCCCAGATTTTAAAGGGATTTATCCCAGTTTTTAAAGGGGTTTATCCCAGTTTTCAGGGGGTTGCCAAGCTGGGCAAGGCAGGAGGAAGGGGCTGGATACCAGGATGCTCCTGATGGGAAAATCCTTCAGGCCGAGATCCCTGGGCGAGTCGAAGACCACAGGGAAGGTCTTGTGAGGGGCTTGGACGTAGCCGAACTCCATCTCATCCTGGAGAAGGCACGGAGAATTTTGGGAATGCCCCCGGCGCTGCCGCGGCGCGGAGGGGCCGGGCACGCCGCGCTCCCACCTGGATCCAGCGGTCCTGG